ACTCTGCCTTCCCTTCATATGCTGCACCGATGGGAGGGGACACATCTTATAATCACAGGCTTTTTTATGTGGAGATGCCGTAGCTCCTGACTTCCATTTCCAAGCCTCACTCCGACATGTGTACCTCACCGACTTACTGGGATGTGACAAAGGAAATGTCCTGTCTGCCCTAGTGCAATGGCGTAGGACTGGCTTTGGTAATGAGAACACTGTCTTGATAAATCAGCTACGGGCACACCTTACAATGTCTGTGTTACTGTTTCTTCTGAGATGTTGCTATCCATCTGCTTTGACGAAAGCAGATAGATTCCAGCATGGCTTTCTAATAAATCTTCTCAAGGAGGGGCTGGCATTAACATTCATGTAGGTTCTTTTTCATCTTCATCCAACCTTAGTTCATAATCAGGAAACTGACGTGCTGAGTAAGAAGATGTAATTAACCCTTTGACCCCAAGATCTTAATTGGCGCCTGTTGAAAACAGTGGGCAGTTTTGTGTTTGTTATTTTTTTTTTTAAAGTTAAAAACTAGCCTGCAGTGATTAAAACAGCTTTCTTGATTCAAATTTTTAAAAAGTTCCACAGAACTTTCAGATTAATTGTATTTGGTTCCCAGGACTAACTGATTGAATGTTTGTTTTCTCCTCCCATCTTTTAAAATTCAGATATACACATTCAACCAATATTGATGCTACTCTTAAGATAAGACTTTTCTAAGCCTTAGCTGCTTTGGCTTAGTGGATAGAGCTTCAGCCTGTGAACCCAAGGGTCCCGGGTTAGATTCCAGTCAAGGACATGTACCTGGGTTGTAGGCTCCTCCCCAGCCCCGGCCCTGGTCAAAGCTCATGCAGGAGTCAACCAATCTATCTGTTTCTTTCAAATCAGTGTTTCTCTCTTTCTTCCCTTCTCTCTTCTGCTCTCTAAAAATCAATGGAAAAATACCCTTTGGTGAGGACGTTTAAAAAAAACTACTTTTTTAAGCAGCAAAATACAGCTAACTATAGATAGGGGTCGCTCTGAATGAGAAGGCAAGGGCTACATAAAGAACAACCTTGCCAATCCACTATCCCATTCTTTTATTTGCCAGGTAATCTAACCAGAGTATGACATTCATTTCACACTAAAGATATAATTGACTAAAATGGTAGGTAAGCATAAAAGTGAAAAATTAGCAAACCATTTTGTTCTATTTTGTTTTGTTTACCTCTGTGCTGGCATATAACCAATCTGACTAGTTGTTTTTATCCCCTCCACATTGGCTGTTATTTTTAATTGAATTGACTGGACACTTTGTGTCATGTAGACATAGACTCATTTTCATCTCACCAGGAAATTGGAACATGTGTTGAAGCCTCTGATTTTTGCCAAACAAAACTGGCCAGTCCTTAGATCACTGCTGCTTAATAGCATCAGATGTTTACCCTCCAGATACTCCGTTTCCCTGCTATGGTATCCAGACCTCCTCTAGTATTTTCACAGATACATGAGATATGAACCTAATGTTAAAAATGCATCATCCCTTTTGGTGAGCAAGGAAAGGATGTGTATGGATGGCAAATGAATGGCACTCGGTGTTTTGGAAGACTATAAAAGAATCCAGTCTAACTCTGATATTCCAAGCGCCGGGAGATATTCCAGACTATATTAGAAACCTGGGGCTTCAGAATCTGCAAATATCATAATCTAATAGGTCCAGAAACAGAACTCTCGGAGGGAATAATTGCCATCCCTCTCAGTCACTTGAGCATGTGTGATATGAGGGAAAGAGAGCACTGGGTTTGGAGGTTTCTGTGCATTCCCTAAGCCTTGGCTGAGCGGTTTGCTTAAGTGTTGGCTAGATAAAGTTGAATAATTTATCACCCACAGTTGAGAAATTCAGTCTCCTTGGGAGTTGAATACACTAGCCAGGGACACATCATGTCATAAATACGTCAGTAATCCTAATGAAGCACAGCCGCTCACATCCTGCTGTGTCACTGGCTAGTGGATGATCTTGTCCAGCCACTTAGCCTCCCGGTGCCTCCGTTTCTCCGTTTCCTCGCCTGTAAAAAGAGAACTACACTACAGAATATCTCTGTGCCAGGTCCACCAGGCTTTTCTGCTTTGGATCAGCCTTTCCCTTGTCACTTGTCCCTATAGACATTCTCGTGATCTCTCTCTCTCTCTCTCTCTCTCTCTCTCTCTCTCTCTCTCTCTCTCTCTCTCTCTCTCTCCCCCCCCCCCTAATCTGACAGTGGCAAATTTTAGGTTTGAGAAGATGGCTGCACAACTCTTGGTGACTATATGCCAGGCCATGCCTATCGGGTTGCACAGAAAACCTAACCAGGCCCTTTTCTCCATGGGGAAGGTCAAAAGGGGAGCATCATAGTCCTCAGGAGTAACCCTTGGACAGCATTGAATGAGATCCTGCTCAGGATTCTGCAAAAGCATCTCTCTCCCTCCTGCCCTAATTTAAATAAGGTCCCACTATACCACACTCTAAGTTTGAAGGGTGGATCTCACCATGGGGTTGTGTCCTGTGCTAAGGAGCCCAGCTCTCTCTGCTAGTGTTTCACTCTCTGTCCTATAGCCGGTTCCAGGAGGGATGCTTTAGAGCACATGTGTCAAACACAAGGCCCGAGGGCCAAATCCGTCCCGCCAGGCCTTGCAATGTGGCCCGCACTGCGCTGTCATCACTGCACTCCGCTGCATTTCCATCACAATGACAGTTTATGACTGTTCAGTAAACCATTCGGCCTGAGATTTAGGCTGGATTTTAGATTTTGGCCCCTTCTCTGATTGAGTTCGACACCCCTACTTTAGAGCAAAGGTGACCTATTGTGAAAGTGACTTACAAACTCTCTTGTCACCCCATTTCCCATTTTTTTCTCCTGCTACTAGTGAGAGAATTCTGCCATTTGAACAAATCATTCAAAAACAAGTGATGCATTTTAAGCTAACTCAGTATAAATATTTTAACTCCAGAAATGCTGAACAATTTATTTTTTCATTAATATATAATACCAATTAGAGAATCTGTATATTTAGTAAAAGGCAGCATAGTTACAAAGTCTATCAGCTTTCCAGTCCCAACTCTACCACTTACTAGGGACAGGAATGTTGCCTGACTATGCTAAGCCTCAATTCCCTAGCATGTAAAATGCAGATAACAATATAATTACTTCAAATGGCACTTGTGAAAATTAAAAGTGAGTATATATGCAATCTGCTTAGCACATATTGCTTAATAAATATAAACTATTATTATTATACTATTTTAACCAAAAGCTTGTTTATTATGTAATTTGCTTTTATGTGGAACAATGCAATGTGACTTTTGAATTGTTTTTAGAAACCACTAAATCAAGTGGTTGTGTGCTGCCCACAGTTTCTGATCAGTAGGGCTATGAAAGGGATCTGGAAGCATTGAATTTGAATTTCATATATACATATAATTATATATAAATACATATACACACATATTCCAACATGCATGGAAACATAGATACATATATCATTCTCAAAAAAAAATAGTATTTTAGGAGACTGAAATTGCTGAGATTTCAGGCAGCCCATTTTTTTAATTACATTTTTCATTCTACCTTCACATTTTTATACTTAAGAATTATGACATTCAGTATTGCCACTTACCTGCTTCTCACTGTGGATTTCCTAAACTTCCAAAGTCACAGCCTCTGTGCATACCACTAGTCTTTAAAACTTTTCTTTCTCTGCAAGTAGTGTTTGTGCAATCTACCTACTTAAAAATCTATAATAATAAAAGCACAATATGCTAATTATACTGGACGACCTTCTGGACAAAGCCAGGGCTGTGAGGGAAGCCCAGGTCCTGGATGTCAGAAGGAAGTGGTGCCCGCAGCCAGGGAAAGGAAGGCCTACTCTTGCACAAATTTTGTGCATTGGGCCTCTAGTAAATAAATAAAGCAAACAAAAGACTAAGATGATGGCACATAAAATGCACTTGTATTATAAGAATTTGAAACAAATTTATTCTCAACTTGAGTGGTACATTGCAGCTGGAGTCCCTGATGATCTAGGGGTGTCGAACTCAATCAGAGAAGGGGCCAAAATCTAAAATCCAGCCTAAATCGTGGGCCAAATGGTTTACTGAACAGTCATAAACTGTCATTGTGATGGAAACGCAGCGGAGTGCAGTGATGACAGTGCGGTGCGGGCCACATTGCAAGGCCTGGCGGGACGGATTTGGCCCGCGGGCCTTGTGTTTGACACATGTGATAGACCATTTATCAAACTAAAAATGCAGCCCTCCATTTAAAAAGTGAACTAAGGTTTCAAGAGTTGCAGATGGTGTGTAACATCCTTCTCTCCCCCACCCCCTTGCCTTTCTCCTTTTGTTCCCATTTCAGGAGTCATAATAGAAAGTAGATTTTGTCACACACAAAAACTTTAATACAGAGTTTTGCAAAAACGGGTCACGATTTGTAAAATCTCAGCCTATAAACATTCCCCACGACTTCTCCTATTTGTTCTAACAATAGGCAGTGGGAGTGAGGAGGGCATAATCCTTTATTAATTAGCAAATCACTGATGTCCATAATAGCTCAAGTGATGATTTTACTTGCTCTTCATAAGGAACCTTTTTTCTTTATTTCATTACAATTTCCATTCCTATTCAGCTATTAAGTGGAGAATCTTGCTGATTTAATCTTAGTAATGATTGAATCCAAATAAATAAACAAACAAACAAATAAATGAAACATATCATAAAATCAGTATGACCTAATTTTATACATGAATGTAATGCATCTTAATCAAAATGACAGGGACATAAGGAAGTCACTGAAATAAAGGAATGCTTGTAATCTTAACTCAGACCTTTAATTTGTTCATGTATAATGCATTGCTAAGAGATCCTAGGACTTTTGTTCAACATGAAGGAATAAAATGGTCTTTAATTTGATATGTTACTTGTATCAGATTCCTTATTAATTAAACCTCCATCATATATATTTATTAACCTTCTTATTTATTTTTTTCTACAG